AAGATGAGTAATTATTGTTGCCACTTCAATGTAATTATCTTCCCTATCCTCTTCTAATTTCTACAGCATTTTAATCGTTTTCCAAGTAATTTTACACGGCTCACGGCATTTTTTCGGGTAGAAAATTTTCCCACAAAATTTATATAATTAAATGAAAGTATTTTTAAAGTAAGTTATGAGAGTGAGATTCTTTCTTATTTACGAGCCCAACAAGATAATAGATTTTAATCGAATTTTTTTTTTCAAGAGATACTAGAAAAATAATTCACATTATTTTTCATTAATACGAATATGTATTAATAAAAAATGTATATTAATTGTATATAATGTATATATAATACGAAATGTATATAATTATTTTTGTTTGCAAACGATTCAAATCTAAAGTGAAACGATAAAAGTTAATACACCGAAATAAAATTATCTTAAATGAGATATCTCGCGATTTCCAAGTTCAAGGGAAACGTGAAAAGATAAAATCGAATAATTTAAAGAGATTGCCATCTAACCTACACATAGCTCCTACACACATATGTGAAAAATATGAAACAGGATGTTGACAAAATTCAATGCAATGAAATCTAATGAAAAAAAAAAAAAAAAAATTAAAAAAATACTATTATTAATAAATATTACATACAATATTAATAATATATTTAAAAAATACAATATACCAGAAAATTGTTCGCGTTTACGTACGTATTTTTGCAAATTAACAAACAAAATATTTAATATTTCTTAGTAGACTTTTAACAATTTATGAAAAAATAAATATATGTATTATAATATATATTTAAGAAAAAAGAAAAAAAAAATTGCACCTCGTTTCTCAATCGAGTTTCTCTCCCTTTTCTCCCCCGTATTTCATTTCCCATAACTCGACTTCTTTCTGCAAATTCAACGAATTTCAAAAACCCTTAAACATCCAGCCATCTTCTTTCTCTCTCTCTCTCTCTCTCTCTCTCTCTCTCTCTCTCTCTTCTTCATCTTCTTCTCGTCAAATAAATTTCTGACGTTAAATTTTCAACTACTAGAATCGTTTAGTTCGTCGTCGCAATACGAAAAGCCTCTTTTCACGACACGTTTAGGAACTCTTAAATGCTGTCACACACACACAAACATATATAGATAGAGAGTTTTGAAGTTGACGTCGACGCAATTAACGAACGGAGGTCACTTTTGTTCATTCTATAAGAACGATTAACCAAAACTGTCTGAGTAAGAAACTTCGTTACACTTAAACTATGAAAATTTATCTTTCAAAATAAAAAGAAAAGCAAATGTTCTGGTGGTAATTTTTCATGGTTGTTTGAAATGAACTTAAGAATATATTTTGGAAAATAAGAATGTGGGAATATGATGGGAATGAATAGGGGAAAAATGTGAACTTTTAAACGATAGAATTTGACGAATAATCGATGCATATGTGTCCATTTATTTATTCATACATACGTATGCATATGTTATTCCAAATAAATACAAATATCGGCTCTCTCTTTGTAATCCGTATTTAATTTACACAAAATAAATAAATATATGTTTATAACTAGCAACCTATGACGTTTCAACGAAATCTATAAATTTTTTTTTAACTGAATTTTATTGTTTTTTTTTTTTTTTTTTCATTTCTGTAATTATAAATAGTCCTATCTGTAAACTAAACTACTTACACGATTTTATCATGATATGTTATTTAAATAATATTTTATATATATATAAAGAAAAAAATTAGTATTAAAAATTATAGGATGTATGTTTAATATTTGATTTATTTTTTAACAATTTCAACTTGTGAAAAAAAAAATCCTAAGATTCCTTTTAAATATATCAAAATATAAATAAATTTTTCCTATAAGAATATTTACCAATTATTTACACAAAAAAATGACATCACTTGAATGCGTGTTCACACACATTGAAACATCATCAAAAAATGGAAGCTACGCGTCTATCACATTCAAATAGAAAAAGTTACTAGTCGATAGTACGAAAATGTTAAACAAAAATAAAAAATAAAACAAAAATCTACTAAATTTAATCTACGCGGCACACGAACGATAAAAAACACACGTATGATATTTCGGTATCAATTATTATCATTCGCGACAAGAAAAAAAGAAACTTCTTGCACGCTAGACGTCTGTATAGTTTTATAATACTATACATACACATCTACATCATATATATATATATATATAATATATATATATATATATATATTTAAATACATAAACATAATCTTTTGCATGGCACGAACGATACTTAAAACGTAAGCTTACCGACTTTATCTACGAGCATGCACGTATCAAACCGTATGTATAACCGTGTTTATGATTGTATATGTATATCTGTGTGTTATAAAAAAAAAAAAAACACCTTATAGGCATAGTAATCGTGCTGCTATAAAACTGAACGAGTTTACTAAACAGAATAAGCGTCTAAGTGCATGTCCTATTAAGATTCTAGCGATAGTTTGGTGTGTGTGTGTGTGTGTGTCGTGATTAAGCTCGATGAAATTTATGAACGAATTTACTCATAACCCCATCTCCCCTTCCTCACTACCCCGATCCTTTTCTGCATCCCTGGCATATGCCGAGAATAAAATCGGTACGAGCCAAAACCACCACCACTTTTACTTTAAACTCCACCTCTTCTTCTTCTTTTTTTTTTCTCAAACTACCCCCTCAGCATTTTTCCTACTTTCTTTTTCTGTTTTATTGTTTTTTTTTCGTTCTCTTTCATCGTTAAGTAGATATACGTATGTTCTATTCTACTCCATTAATTGTTAAAAAAAAAAAAAAGAAGGGGGAAAGAAAATAATAATTCGATGTGTTAAACGTTTAACATGTCTCCATTTTCGTTCCCATTATTCGTTATCGATGTTTTATCGTTCTACTGAATTTTTTCATGATTATATAGCACGATTATTATTAGAAGACAAATTATAAATTATATATATATATGATTCATGTGTTGATCAATTAAATCGTTTTTCATTGTCTATGTCTGTTTGTTTGTCTGTTTCTGTGTTAAACGCCATTTATTTAACATGCACTCGCTGTAACGCACAAGTAAGTACGAAGCTTTTCTTCTTCTCTCTCTCTCTCTCTCTCTTTCTCTCTCTCTCTCTTTCTTTCTTTCATTTTCTCTATTTCTATATTTCTTAATAATTATCCTTTCTTTATTTATTGATCTTTCTATCTATAATTAATATAATACTAATCGATTCGATTAGCGCAAACCAAATTTGTTGATACGTTTCTCATTATCGCTATATAATGTTAATATATATATTTTAATATTACTAATATATTTTATTAAGTAAATATATTTTAATATTATATATTTAATAATTTATTATATATATATTCATTTTATTATTTTATTTGCTATACAAATCGTCGCTAAATTACACGCTCGACATTTGCTGCAATTTCACCTTCTTTTCACTTTTATCTGCTTTATATTATATAAATATATATCTTTCTCTTTCTCTTTCTTTCTCTCTATCTTTCTATCTCTCTTACTCTCTTTATAATACTATACTCTTAATTTCGCAACATCAACGTTTCCTGCTTTAACACGAATAATCTGTTCTCTCTTTTTCTCTTTCTCTTTCTCTTTCACTCTCTCTCTCTCTCTCTTTCTCTCTCTCTCTCTCTCTCTCTCTCTCNCTCTCTCTCTCTCTCTCTCTCTCTCTCTCTCTCTCTCTCTCTCTCTCTCTCTCTCTCTCTTGTCAACGAAATCAGACTTTTCGAAGCGTGCGCTAAGTCTGACTGAATGTACATGAATATGTATGTGAGTATGTTTTGTGTGTATGTAAGTATGTGCGTGTATTTAATGTCTAACCATTTCACGCACGCACTCACATATACACATATATTCGTACACATATACATATGATATAATATTATATAATATTTAAACGAGTGTCTGCGAAAGAGTGAACATGAGGTGTGTGATACGTTTTTTTAAATTTTTTGATTTGTTTATAATTTTTTATTTAAAAAAAAAAAATTACAGGAAACGTATTCGTCAATACGATTGGTATACTTCATTTTATCTCTTTCTAAATCTATTTTTCTTATCTATTTTTCTATCTGTCTCTATTTCTTTCTATCTATTTCTCTTTCTATTTCTTACTCACTCTCTTTTTCTAATTCTTGTTTTTTATCATTTCTTTTTTTATAAATAGTTCGAGCAACGCGTTAAACAAATTCGCAGACTGGACCGAACCTTTTTTTTTTCCTGTCTTTGTTTTCTTGTTGTTTATTTTGTTATCTTTGTCCCTCCCTTCCACCCACTTATGCATGAAACAAAAAAAATCTAAAATGTTAGTGTTAAAAAGAAAAGAGAGGAAAAAAAAAAAGAAAAAAGGACAGAATTTATCTCGAAGGATCAAATTCTTATTCTTATTCGTCCAGTCTACGAATTGGCGCTTCCGTGTTTCGGATAAATAAATAAAAAAAAATAAAAAAATAAAGTTTTCCCTTGCGCTACTCGTATTTACACGTGTCTCAAAAAGATCGAAGGATCAAATGTTTTTTTGTTTTCTTATTTAAAAAGGAAAAAACAATTAATCGAATAAACATACACACTGCGAATAAATAAAAATGATTAAATTTCGCATTTCGTGCGTGACGAGTAATATAAAACGAACGAAAAAGATCGTCGAATCTCTTTTTCGAAAAAAAAAAAAAGATAAAACTAAAATATAAACAATGGGAAAATGAGAAAAGGAAGGAAAGAACGAAAGGTGGGGATGGAAACAAGGTGTTTGGAAACGATTCGACGATTATTTCGGAATCGTTTTCTTTTTTTTTTTTTTTTTTAGAATTTTGAGAGATACACCGTTTAAAAACTACAAAAAAAAGAAAAATCAACGAAAAAAAAAAAGAAAAGAAAAAATAAGAAAATAGGTTAAACCAATCATTTCCGTGACTAATCGCTTGTTCTCTTGTCTTTTCTCCGGGGGATTTTCGGAAATTCCTCGAATTCAGGGTCGTACTTCAATTGCATCATGTTCATGGTGGCTAGCAGCGTCGTCTTGACTGTTATGGTGCTAAATTATCATCACAGAACGCCCGACAGATACGTCATGCCTAATTGGGTAAGAATTCATTATCAAATTAATTGCTTTAGGCTTGTGTATAAGTATGTATGTGTGTGTGTGGACGTTAACGTGTTTAATTGTATTTCATTCTATCGTTTCTCGGTGTACGTACACATAGATATAATACATTATATATATATGTATGAACGTACATATGCAATTGAACTATAAGATGAAGGCACCAGTGGTAAACCGGTTAATAGAAATTTTGATCTTAAATACTGTTAACTTCTTACATTTTTATTAAATAGTGGGTCCCAATACGTGAAAATATTCTTTGAACTTCGGATTTCATATAAGAAATGATATTATTCAAAAAAAGTTGTATTACACAAAAATAATAAACATTAACCATCTTAATGGTGAATACTTTTACCTCAAATATTTTGTAGAAACGGAATTGTTTATTATTAACTAAATTCTAATAATAGATTATATTTAATAATTAAAATTTTTCTTTATAACTATAATTTAATTAAATAATATAAACAGTACATTATTTTACATTAATATAAATTGTATATTATTTTAAATTATTATTATTATTATTATATATTGTTATATTTATTTTAAATATAATAAAAATTAAATTAATTAGAATAAATATTATTTTTATTATATTATATATGTATATTATAATATAAACACATATACATCGATAGACCACTCTGATAATTTTTACCAAACACATATAAGCGTCCATAGCACTCAAAAGGTTAATGTAAATTCAATCACTGCATTAATAGTTGACCATTTGTAAAACTGAAGAAACCATTAATTGACAATTGTTTTTTTTTATTGATAAGTTATTGACCACTTATACAAGAATCAAAATCAATCAAAGAAATTATTTAAAAAAAAAAACCTTATCTTTTTTAGTTTTAGTGAACAAATGGTCAATTTCTGGTACATGATCGACAACTGGTGCTTTCACCCTAAATCTAAATATGACAAATCTTCAAAAGATTATTTTTTATTTATACAATTTTTATGATTGTTTTCTCTCATGCATTTGAAAACTTTTCACCGAGAGATTCGAAATAATGGAAGCATAAACAAACGACGATTTCAACGACGCTTTTGTTTTATAAAACGTCTTATGCGTTGCATAACCAACATAGTGGCCGTTATGGCCATTAAAATACTATGCTTTAGTTTGTGAAAGTTTAAAGTGCCTTCGAGGCGTTGATCCTCCTTCTTCTTGGTCGCAGTGTTTCTAGGGAACTTTCATAAACCAAGAAGAAATGTTCTTCGGGGCCAAAATGCAAGAAAAAGTAAAGAAAACTATTCTCTATCTCTTTCCCTCTCTCTCTCTCTTACGTTTTTATCTTTCGACTATTTCTTGAAATGTTTTCGTTAAAATGTACTTCTTAAATTCTCTGTGCAACGCAATGTTATTTGAAATTTCCAAAATTTTTATACAATTTTTTTGTATATTTTTTTTTTTATCAATGTTTTCATCCCATTTATTTTATCACAATAATTTATTTTTATAATTTATTAATATTTTATCATTTTATTTTATGATTAAATATAATAAGTATTATATTTAATTATAAAATATATAATATTATTTATAATATTAAAATTAATTAATAATCATTAGTATTAAAATTAATTATAATAATAATTATAAACATATATATATGATGATGAATGAAGATAATGACGATTCTTCATTGCAAGCATATATTCATCATGATCGTTAAATTATTATTGTNTAAAATATATAATATTATTTATAATATTAAAATTAATTAATAATCATTAGTATTAAAATTAATTATAATAATAATTATAAACATATATAATAAATATTATATTTAATTATAAAATAAAATAATAATAATAATATCTAAATTCGTAATTGACAATTTTTTCATTCAAATCCAAATTAAATTTAATATTTTATTTATTGATAAATTTCAAGTTTAACACATGTATTTGATTAAAAAAAAAAAAATGTAATTTAATTTCATACCAAATTTGAATAATTCGAACTGAACCTTATCAGTTCTTTGAACATTTCTTCTTGTTAAATAAATATAAAGAAAAAAAAAATGAACTACACAAACGTCAATATTATTAATGATCGATCTAATCGCAGATCAAAAAGCTGTTCCTACAGTGGCTGCCATGCATATTGTGCATGAGCCGTCCTGGCAAGAAGATCACGAAGAAGAGTCTCTTGGTGACCAATCGGATGAAAGAACTCGAGTTACAAGAGAGAAGCAGTAAAAGCTTATTGGCGAACGTCTTAGATATCGACGATGATTTTCGTCATGGAAACAGTGCTGCCAATCCAGCTACCGGTTACATAAGGTTAGATCTTATGTCTTTTGTAAATAAGCTGTATATATATATATGTGTGCATCAGTGTACCAACGGCTTATACTTTAAAACCTTCTCTTTGTGTATGAATGTGAATGTGAATGTGTGTATAATAATATCTATAACTATACATATACTTTAAACTTGGATCAATTTCTCTCAATTCGGAACAAAGTTCGAGCTTTATGTAAATTTTCAGCCATACGTTCTGTTCTCTAGTTCTATCTTTGTCTCTCTCATTTTAAACCTTTCCACTATTCGTCTACCTTTGCATTCATATTCAGTATTACGTTGTACCTTTCAATGGAATACCAATATCCGATACGCTTGTCAAATAACGATCTCCTTCAATCAGAATTTATCTAACGTTAACAAATTACAAAAGTGTTTATATTATCGTTTGAAAACTAAAGAAATAATAATTATTATTAATAATATGAGTAGATTGATTTATGTAATTAAATTAATGCTAAATCTTTCCCATTAACAAATGGTTTATCCTTTAATATCATAGTTAATATTTACTTATCGATTATAATAACGAAAACTATATCCTTGATATGTGAAACTATTTTAAACAGTTCAAATAAGGGTATAGAATTATTATCATTATTATTATTCTTGATATTTGCATTACTCGAATAAATGTAGTATGAATGTTAGCATGAACGTTGATATTAACCACGAATTATACGACTTCTATTATCCAAACGTTTCGGTAATAAACGAAATCCTTACTCATGTATTATATTTGATACGAGTATTTAAATGTTAACGCACGTTCGTTTGTCTAACTAAATTAAAAAAAATAAAAATAAAAAAAATAGAATGTCAATATTCGTAATACCGTTGGTACGATATTTCAAACAAAAAAGTAAAATCAATTGAAAATATTTGTTAGATTTTTGATTACATTTTGATCATTTTCTTTTACAGTAGGTCGGCGTACGGCACGCCATTGTCCGGACGACCGGCTACGGTCGAAGAAACGTCGGCATCTTTACCTTTAAGTGGAATGCAAAGAGAACTTCATACGATTTTAAAAGAATTACAATTTATCACGAGTCGTATGAGAAAAGCCGACGAAAATGACGAGGTGATTAACGACTGGAAATTTGCTGCCATGGTAGTCGACAGGTTGGTTCTTTGTTCTTTTTTTTTGTTCTTATTCTTATATTTTATTTACGATTCGTAGAAAATTTCAAACAAAAAAAAAAAAGAAAATTCAAATAATTAATTTTTATTTCATATTTTGAAATCACGCAAAAACAAATATACGTCAATTGATATCAATGAATGAAGGTTGTGCCTGATCGTCTTCACGTTATTCACGGTGTTGGCCACGGTCGTAATACTATCTAGTGCGCCACACATAATCGTCCACTAATAGACTGCCCGGTCGAGACACCGAATAAATGCACAAAAACGTCGCTTAAGTAGCGCCTCCTCGAATTTGGTAAGACATTTTCATCATTTTCCTTCATATTAAATTCTTTCGAAGAATTTTTTTGGTGTATTTCAAAAATTTAGATAAAGATCAATGATAGTTGATAAAAAAATCATTGCTTTTTTATTCTCAATACTATCTTATAATAAATTCATATATTTAATTGGAAAAAAAAACTGTTTTTTCTTAACACTAAACGTACATTATACAATCGGTCAAATGTTACATTTTAAATTTTATATTTCATTAAACTTTACTTCCAATTTTAAAATTGAATTAATATTAAACCTAAAAAAATAGAACTTTTGATTAAAAATCAAAAATTTGTAGATGATCGAACTTATATCAGTAGTAAAAGTCAAGCATTTATAGATGATGGAATACCAGTAGTAAAAGTCAAGCATTTATAAATGTTTAGACACGTGAGTAGTAAATTGTATTGTTTTTTCATTAAACTTTACTTACAATTTTAAAATTGAATTTATATTAAACCCAAAAAAAATAAAACTTTTGATAAAAAAATCAAGAATTTGTAGATGATCGAACGTATTTCAGTAGTAAAAGTCAAGCATTTATAAATGATTACACATGTGAGTAGTAAAAGACAATCTATCGAAATACGATGAAAATATTGTTTGTTTGAAATTGTAAATTTGACCGATTACAATATAAATACATATGTAAATTTAGTGTTAATAAAATAACAAATGATTTTCTGTTTTTTATTGTCAATATCGAGTTATAGATATCTCTAGAAAAAAAAAAAGAAAAAAAAAATACAAACAAACACAAAATTCGTGTTGCACATTTCCCCTCTTCCTTCTCTCTTCCTCAGAAGCAACGTTCGTGGGACGCGTGATTTGCGGGACCGATTCTACCACTAACAAGAAAGAGAAAAAGAGAAAGAAAAAGAGAGAGAGAGGAATAGAAAAATTTTAAGAAAAAGTGACAAAAAATAGATAGATAAAAAGAAAATAAAACAAAAGAAAGAAAGAAAGAAAGAGAGAGAGAGAGAGAGAGAAGGAGACAGAGACAGAAAGTGAGAAGAGGAGGAAGAAGGAAATAAACAACGATGGAAGAAAACTGAGCCATGGACAAAGTACGAGAGGAAAATAAGGGCTTGACAATTGACAGCAAAATTTCGCAAACCTTTGGCAATCTGTTGGACTCCGAACGTGCGTCGTCCATTTTGTCATCATCATCGTCTTCGTCATCGTCGTCATCGAACTAACTTCCCCTTCTTCGTCGTCACTTTCGTTTTATTGATTTTAATTAAAAGAAAAAAATAAAGAGAGACAGAAATAGAAAAAGAGAGAGAGAGAGGGAAAGAAAAAAGAAAAGCGAAAGAAATATTAGATTATCACATTTTTCAAATTGTTTTCTTCTTTTCTAAAAATACTAATTTACAAAGAAAAAGTAGAACCAAAATTACAGTAAGAAATTAAAAAAAAAAAATAAATCAAATAATTTATAATAATCGGAAACGAAGATCATTAATGAAATTTTGACAAAATTTGGATTTATTTTTAACCATATACTTTCTAATTTTTAATTTAATTCTTTTACCTCCCCCCCACACACACTTCCCCTCTCTCTTTAATAACTATTTCTCTTTATCTCTTTCTTTTTTCTTCTATACGAAAGAAAAAAAGAAAGGATCGGAAAATGATTCGGATTCTTCCGCGATACGCGCGATCCACGAACGAACAAACGAACGAACGAACGAACGAACGTCGTTAAAAACCCGGCCTTTCACGGCACGTCAATAATGATAATAATAATAATAAAAATAATAATAATAAATAAATAAATAAATAAATAAATAAATAAATAATTAAATAGTATAAATAGCTAAACAAACAAAAAATATTATAATCGAATCGCTTAGCGCGCGCGCTCTCGCTCTCTCATGTTTCCTTAAAAATATTACAAACACACATATATACATATATATATATATATATACACATAAAATATTAATATAATTTATTATAATAATTTAATATTTGAATAATATTTGAATAATATTTGAATAATATTTAAATATATAATAATTATATACTATTTTATTTTATTCATATTATAATAAATTATAATAGTAAATAAATTATTTATATTATTTATTATTATAATTTATATATTTATCGTTACAATAAATAAATAATAATTTATATTAATTATATATTAATGTTTACATGTGTGTTTATATATTATATAATATACATATAATATATAATGGTGGTGCGCGCGCGCGCGCCTGCGCGAACGAGCTCGTAAATAAGCGTTTATTATCTTCGAACAACTGCCAAATAAATGGAGGAGCTCTCGTGTCAGGGGTGACCAATATATGTATATCGTTTATTCGAGATTGATCGATATAGTTCGATCGATTGAACGAACGAATAAATGAACGTATGAAAGAATGAATGAATGAACGAACGTACGTATGAATGAACGAGTTAACATGAATGAAAAATTAAACGAATCGTCGATCGATATTCTTTGAGAAATCGAATTTTAATCGTATGAGATCATTCGTGAAAGTTCATTATTATTAATAAGAGCGAGTTGAAAAATAATTAAATAAAATTAAATAAATGTTACTAATTAAATATATAAGATAAGATGATATATATATATATATATATATATATATATATGTATTATAACGACTGATGTCGTAATCGTCTTTAAATAAATAAATTTCGCTAAATAAATAAATA